AGTAAGCTTAGCCTAAAAGTTGTTGAAAGGTTTGAAAGCTCCTTGGGGAAGGCATTCTTACCTATTATTTGTGCTTGCAGAACCCAGCTTAGGACTTGGTCCTGGCAAATCATTATGCTGATTGAAGTGGGTTGAACAGCCTGCATTTAACTAAATGGTAGCTTATGACTCTTCTTTATTTTTTTTGATGGGCTCCTTTTGAGTTTTATGTCAGTCCTACCAACTGGAGTTGTGGATTCCAACCTCCAGGTATTTTTGAAAATTAGGAAAGTATTTGCCCACTTGTAGTTTTCCAATCCTCTCTCCCTTCTCCAAGTCTCCCCTTGTCACCAGCCATAGCTAGCATTGTTCCTGTGGGCTCCAGGTGTCCTGTGGAAGTATTTTCCGGTTGCTCCAGGACTCATACCCTTCATCTCTGAGGAAATACAATTTGCTGGTTGGATTCCCTCTGTTTTTCTGGAGTTCATCATAATCCTCACAGGGAATGTGTAAATACAGCTAGTTCCAAGGAAGTTGCTTTCTCTCCAGGTTAAAAAAAAAAAAAATCCCCCTGCTATGTAAACAGTCTTCCTTCTTCTTGAGCCCAAACTTGGTGTAAAAAATACATTGTAATAATGAAATAGGAGAGTGTTTAGGATGAATTAAATGAAAAAAAAAGAACAGGTTATGAAGTAGAATTTGTGGCATGATTTTAAATTTATTAAGAAAAAATTAAGATCAAAGAAATATACTTTGGTAAACATGGAAAAAAAGAATGTAATGCTGTTCTCAGCATGGCTATTGCTTAGCTGTTTAGGGTACTTAGAGTATTAATAATTTTTATTTTATTCTCTATTTCTTATACTTTTTTATCATGCATAAAATTAACATGGATTATTTTAAAAGTCAGAAAAATAGCATTAACTTTTTTTGTGCATTGTTTGGAGTATAGATTATGTCTCTGAAGAGAGTATGGCAGAGACTGCCTCCCAAAATGCATTTTCCCTAATAATAGGTTAAGGCTGACACATGACTGGACTGCATGTCCCAGCCTTTCTTGACATTAGATATGGCCATGCACTTAAAATGGAATGTGAGCCAGAGATACGTGCCACCTAGAGGGTGGGCTTTTATGTGTGGAGATGTGCTTTGTGCTCTCCCTTTCTCCTTTTGCTGATTGGATGCAGATGACAACAACACTCTAAGGGACAAAGGAGTTTGTGTTCCTAAATTATTATATTGGGCGAATCACCTGCCTACTTGAACAATTGTAGGAAATCATCCTAACACAAGTTTGCCTTATTCATCTCTGTTTCTCTAGGATCTAGCTGGGATCTGGCCCAGAATAGATGCTCAGTGTGAGTTTGTTAATTAGAACTGAACTCTGACTTTCCTGACATCTTCGTCACAAAGCTATAAGTAAAATACCACAATTTTGTTATTACTTAGTTAATAAAGTATGATTTCATATAAAATGTGAAAAGCTTGCAACAGCATGTTTCCATTCACTCCTTCATCTTTCGTGCAATTGTTGTCATATATGTTTCATCTACAACGTATATGAACTGGGGATGGTATAAACTCCAAAGTACAGTGTTACACTTTTTGCTTTAAGTAGTTATAGTTTTTTGAAGAAATTAAGATAAGAAAAAGTACAAAGTTTGTTTATATTTGCTCACATATTAGCCATTAATAGCGTTCTTCTTTCCTTTCTGTAGATTCATGTTACCATCTGGAGTCTAGCCTCAAAAACTTCCTTTAGAATTTCTTGTAGTGCAAGTCTTCTGGAGATGAATGATGTCAGCTGTCATTAATCTGCAAATAACTTTGTTTCATCCTCAGTTTTTCAAGGATAATTGGGTTAACAATTCTTTTTCTTCTAGTATGCTAGAGATATCTTTCCATTGTCTTATGATTTCCATTGTTTCTGAGAAAACATCTGCCTAATTTTGTTTTTGTTCCCCAATATGTAATTTCTTTTCTCTTACTGTTAAGATAATTTTTTATTTCTGATTTTCAGGAGCTTGACCATGATCTGCCTAAGTGTGGTTTTCTATCCATTTTGTTCTTCCTGGGGTTTACTAAGCTTATTTTATCTGCAATTTGCTGTTTCTCAACAAACTTTGAAATTTTCAAATATTTTTCTTCAAATATTTTTTTTCTGTTCTCTTCTCTCTGGGACTCCAGAGACACATATATTGTACCATTTGATATTGTCCCAAAGGCAACTGAGTGTGTGTTTGTTTTTCTTCAATCTTTTTCCTCTCTGTCCTTCAGACTGAATAATTTCTGTTCATCAATCTTCAAGTTCATTAACTTTTTTCTTTTTTAATTTGCACTCACTGATCTGCTGTTTGGCTATTAGTAAAATTTTCATTGCAGATATCCCTTTCACTTCCAGAATTTACATCCAAATCTTCTTATACTTTCCATTTACTTCCTGAAATTTCCCACCTTTCAATTATAATGGCTATCTCTTCTTTTAGGTCCTTGAATATATTTCCAATAGCTGCTTTACAGTCCTTGTGTGATAATTCCAACATCTGGTTCATCTTGGGATATATTCTTTTGGATAGTTATTTTTCTTCTTATGAGTCAAATTTTTCTGTTCTTTCAGATTTCTACTAATTTTAGTTGTATGCTGGACAGCGTGGATGCCACACTGAAGGGATGCTGCATTATGTTTTCTTCCTTTAAAGGATGATGTGTTTTTTCCTGGTTGACAGTTACATTACTGGAATATCCTTTTGGTTCTGCCAGGCTTTTATTCTTTGTTAGGGCTGTTTTGTTTCAAGTTTGAACTTGTTCTAGTTCATGGCTCCTACTCTAGGCTATAGTTCTTATTTCTCAGGTTTGGCTTTTCTGGAGTGTAAGATGAAATCCCAAGATGCTCAGGGAGGTCTCTCCACTCTGGATGGTATGGAACTCTAACACTGTGAACAGTGCCCAATCTCTATTACCTCAGTTCTCAGCTTTGGAGCAGGTGATCTCTGCTAGGTTTCTTGGGGTCTTACCCCATGCATGTATAGGCAACCCTTGGCCAAGGACACACACAATGAATTCCCACAAAACACACCCTTCTCAGGTCCCTGCCCCGAAAATTCTGGCCTCTTAAGAAACTTGGAACTCTCTGACTTACACCTTTTTAGTTCAAGGATATTACTGCCCCTGGGGCTCCACCTCCCTGTACCATGGCAGGAAAACACCTATAAGAAGAAAGCCAGGGCAGCTGTGGGGCTCACCTTGCGTGTTTTTCTTATCTCAAGGTTCAGTCTTATGATGCCTGCTACTCAATGCCTGAAAACAATTGTCTCACATATTTGTCTTTTTTAGAGTTTCCTTCAGTGGGAGGTTATCTCCTGTCATAACTGGAAGCAGAAGTATAATTGCTATTTTTAGATATTTAAAAAAAATTACAGAATCTCACATTTCCCCTCAACAAAAATATATATTTACATGAGCAGTTCATAGTTTTCCTGGCAGCTTCAGTGTCTTAGCATGGTCAACTCTCTCAATAATAATAAATCACATTTGTACAGACATTTTTAGCATTTAAAAATCCTCTTGCAAATATTGATTTGTTCCTTACAACATTGCATTTGTCTCATTCTACAAATAAGAACCAGACTTAAAGATGTTAATTCCTTTTGGGCAGTAATGAGAATTGCAACCCAGATTTTCCACCCAGGAGTGCAGACTCCGCTAACCTATCATTTTAGTCAACAAATCAGGTACCTCCCTAGGACGAGTCTTGCACCATATGCTGAGAAAATTAACATATTTCTCCATAATGGTACACACTATAGTACAATGGTTCTGGAATATAGTATAACCAGGAGCTTAATTTGTTGCTCTAAAAAAATTGGAGCCCATTCTGGCTTGACAAGGTGACACTTGCATACACCTCTTGCATGTCTCAAGGTGATCTGTGTGCAGAGCCCTTCCAGTTTCCATTCTAGCTTCTTTTCTACTCATGAACTGTCGAATGAGAAATGAGAATTTGATCAGGGATGTTGGTACCTCTGACTACTGTTGGGGAGTGGGTGTGGGGTCAACATGGGCATGTGACGAGGTCTTAAGCTGGACAGGTCTCCTAGGTTGACTGCTATCTACTGGCAAGTTTGCACTGGCAAGAGTTGAGATATTACTACAAATGTTTTCATCCTTTGAATCAGTCTCAGAGCCTTTTGCCTCCCATAAAAGATGATGTTGCTTCTCACTTATAGTTACTCATAAACAGTCAGTTGATTGCACGCTAGAAACAGGTGATGAGCTGGCTTTAAGGATCAGGCATTTGTGCTAACCACTGCTCTTGCTCACGTGGCACAGGGAGATATTGTGTTTGAATGGACATGCTGGCTGGTCCTACATGGATGATGCTATGGAGAGATGATATGAAATGATTCAACCTAATAAGCCCAAAGGAGCAAGAATCTTGATGCTGAATTCCAGAGAACTTCATTCTATTACTTCAACTTTTCTTTCATCATCACTTTAATGTTACCCACTGATCTTAAGGGACTCCCTTCTCTTTTTTTTGTTGTTATTGTATTTTTTTCCCTTTTTTAAATTGAAGTATTATTGTGTTAGTTTCAGGTGTACAGCACAGCAATTCATTTATATATATACACATATATGTATACACATATATAGAGATATATATCTTCTTTTTCAGATTCTTTTCCCTTATAGCTTATTACAAAGTACCGAGTATAGTTCCCTGTGCTTTACCAGAAGCTCAGAGAGGAGAGGTGAGGCCAAGGAAAGGAGAAAAGTCCAGCCAGATAGTCCAGGGCTGAGTGAACTCTGCGTCCACTCTTACTAGTTTTCCCTCTTTGCCCTTAGCCCCACCCAGCACTGCTTGACCATACTCCCCTAAGCGGCTTTTCTACCGGGCCCGGGTCACCCACCAGAACTCAGGCAGCTCTGCTGATGGCTGGGAAGTGGGCAGAATCAGGCATCTGTCGACTCTCCACTTCTGCTTTCTCCAGGAAATGAGCAGAAACCCAGCTCAAGTGATTCATAGTGAAACATCGTTAAAGACTGAAGATTCTGGGCTCGGTCCTCTTCTCCTAAGCCTGAGGGGCTGTGGCTGGTTATGCGGGCGCCCATGCCATCTGACGTCTCTAGGCCCTGACGGACATACTCCAGGTAGGTCACCTTGCTCTTGGCCACGCTAGGTCAGCCCAGAGGTGGGCATGGGGGTCCTGTCTTCCAGGGCAGGCTGATTGGCCGTCTCCTGGAAAGCTGAGCATGGGAGCACATGTGACCACCAGTGCCTGATCTGGGTTTGTGCGTGTGGGAGAGGAGGTAAGCTGAGGAGCAGGAAGTATGTGCAGGGCAGGTGGCACATGTGCTCAGGGCCACTCCGATGTCTGGGTCTGCTGGGGTATCCCACTCTTGGGGTGTCTCAGTGTTGGGGTGTTTGTCACTGTTGGGCTTTGCTGAGCCAGGCCAGGCTCTGGCACTGTTCCTCATCCTCCTACTTCAGGTCAAGCCCTTTCTCATGGTTCTGTTAAGGAAGGTGACCTGCCACACCTAGGAGAGGCTGGACACGGGCCCGTGTCTGCCAACTGTGCAGGGGTGGAGAGAGGGGCTGGCCGTGAGACTCCCCTGCCCACCCCCCATGTGGGCCTCTGAAGGGTCCCAAACAGAGGGGGACACTTCAGACTGGTCACCAAGAGATCTGGCTCCTTCCTGGCCCTGTGGTCACTGCTGGGCATCTCGTAAGTAGGTACCCCTTGGGGCCATCCTTTCCTCGTCCGAATTACCACGTCAAACCTTAGCAACATCAATATTTTTGAATCAGCAGGCCCACTGGTTTCAAGAATTAGCTCTTTTCTCACCACCTAAAATTGCACCTTATAGAACAAAGAACCAATCCTTCGTCCCAACCTCTCTGAAGCATGAGGAGCTAATCTGGTAACTAAGGAGTTCGTGTGTTACCTTTTCCATGGAAAGTTTCAATTTTAATATGATTTTCTGCATAGTCATCCATTTAATTGTTCAACAAACATTTATTGAGAGCCACTTCCTGCCAGGCACTGCTAAAGACGGCCGGGTCAGTGGTCAGGGGAGGGTGGTGCCCAGTGCCACAGGCTCCAGTGGGCTGGAGAGCAGAGGGTAAGGAGTAGGGGTCAGGAAGCCCGGGAGAGCACATGTCTTCTGAGTGGAGGCCTGAAGGAAGGGAGGGCCTGAGCCATGTGCGTTTCTGAGAAGCTTTCTTGGCAGGGGGAACCGAGAGGTTCAAGGTGCAGAGGAGGAGGCCTGGTGGAGACCAGGGTGGCAGTGAAGGCCAAGGAGTGTGCCAGGTGACCTGGCCAGAGAGGGCTGGGGTTGAGTCAGGTCAGGGAGGGCCTTCCTGTCCAGTGTGAGGACCTGGGCTGTAGTCCCCCAGACTTGGGAAGTTTTGAAATATTGAGTAGACAGAGAAGAAAATTTAGAAAAAGCGTATAGGGTATAAGGAATAAAAATTGCATAAGCCCTGTGTGCTGTCACCTCAGTGTTGTTTTAAAGATCATGAGCATCTTTGAAGTCATCTGTGTGCTCATCCTTCTCTGTCTCTTCAGAGCTGTTATGAATTTTGGGTTTATTGTTCTTTTGCCTTTCCTTATAGTTCAACCTTGTATATTTAAATTGCTAAATATGTTATTTGGTTTTGCATGGTTTTGACCTTCGTAAATAGCAATTAAATAGTCTTTTAAGACTTGCTGAATTGCCTCAAAATTGTTTCTGATATTCCTTCATATTGTTGCATGTGCCTCTAATTCATTCATGTTTATTGCAGGATAGTAACCTGTTATACATGAATATACCTCAGTATACTCTCCCAATATACTGCCAGTGGGCACTTGGGATATTTCTAGGTTTTGTTTTGTTTTGTTTTCCTCTTATGAGCTGCTAGGTGCTGTTAGCACTTGTAAGTGCTAGTGGGGCTCTCCTTGCACATATATCCTGGGGCGTGTGTGCAAGAATTCCCTAGGGTGTGTATATCCTAGAAGTAGAATTGGTAGGTAGTAGGGTATATAAATCTTCAGCCTTATTGGATGATATCAAAACTTTTTCCAAGCCAATGGTACCACGTTACCCACTCATCAGCAAGATGTAAAAGCTTCCGTTGCTCTACATCTTCACCACCATTTGATCTTGTTAGAGTTTTATTCCAATTCAGTGCAGATGAAAAGCCATCTATGTTTTGAATTTGTAGTTTTTGAATTACTAAGGTTGGGCATCTGTTTATATGCTTATCACTCACTCTAAATTCTTTTTCCTCTTCAAGTCTTTTTCTCTATGGGCCATCTGTCTTTCATCCTATTGGTTTTCTGTAATTCGGTACATATTCAGATGTTAATTCTTTGTATTTTATGTATGTTTTAAATACTTTTCTCTTATTTGTGCCTTGTCTCCTTATGTTATTTGTGATTTCTATTAATGATTGAATTTCTCAGTTTCAAACAAGCTTAATTTACCCATATGTTCTCTTATGATATAAACTTGTGTATTGTCTAAGAGATTCTCCTCCACTTTAAAGTCATAAAATTATTCTCTTACATTATTAAATTTTAAAAAATAATTTTGCCCTTCATATTTAGTCTTTAATCCTACTTAGTAATGATTTTCCTATATGGTGTGAGGTAGCAGGTAATGTTTTATTTTATTTTGTTCTTTCCATATGGATAACCAAGAGTCTTAGCTCCACAAATCAAAAAGGCCATTCTTTAGCCACTAATCTACAACTCTGTTGTAAATCTGTGTAGTGGGTCTGTTCCTTGGCTGTCTTCTGTCAATGTGTTTCTCCCTTTGCCAACACTAAATAATATTATTAACTAGAGGCTTATAATAAATTTTGGTATCTGGAAAGAGTCTCCTCATTTTTTTCTTCTTTCATTCTGGCTTGACATTCTTGGTTCCTTCTTACTTAATATGGATTTTAGAATCAGCTTATCAGGTTCAACAAAAAAGTTATGTTCAGATTTTATTAGAAATATAATTTGAAGAGAAGTGATATCTTTATGAACATGACTCCGCCAATTCATGAACATGGTTTATTTCCTTATTTATTTAGGTCTTCATTAAAATATCTAAATAAAATTTTATAATTTTCTTTATAAAATTAGTGCACACTTTGCCTAGATTTATTCTTAAACGGTTTATTTTTATATCATTGCCATGGTCTTTAAAAATATGTTTTTTTGACTCTTGCTGACATATGCTCCCATTTTAAAGAAAAATCACTTTCTATGGGTATCAAAGGGAGAAGAAAGACTAGCAGTTAAGAGGCTGTTGTAATAATCCAGGCTGGAGGTGATGGTGGCTGGCCCCAAACTGATAGTAACAGAAATAATGAGAGGTGGTCAGAGTGGTGAGATTCTAGATATTTTTGAGAGGGATTTGACAGTGTTGCAAGCGTTGGGTGTGGGAGAGAGAAATTTAAGATGATTCCAGAGCAACACAGAGACTGGAACTGTCATTTACTCAGCTGGGTCAAGGGTGGAAGGAACTTATTTGCAAGGTGGTGATTATTCCAGAATATCGATGTGGACATATGTAAAGGTGGAGATGCCTATTAGACATCAAGTGGAGGAATGAATTCTTGGCACGCCCCCCCAGGTGGCCTTCATGATAGAAAAGCAAGGCAGCGTGGCCACTTGGGGGAGGGGGTGTTGTTACACAAAACAAACCGAAACATCGAGTTTGGCGCAGAGAAAGGTTTATCAATCGAGGAGGCGCCGACTCAGAAGATAGGAGGCCTAAGCTCGTCTCAAATCTATCTCGCTAACTTGGCTGGGGCACAAGGCTTTTAAAGGCGAAAACGGTAAAAGGGATAGGGTCGTAGCATATGTGATCAGTTCATGGACCTTCTTCTGATCAGTTGGTGGTACGGTAACGGTGATGTTTTGGGAATCTCAATCATCAACCTTCTGGTTCCAACCAGTCTGGGGTCTAAGTGCTTGTGCTCAGCGTGTAGTCACCATCCTCTACCTGGGTGGGGATCTTAGTTTCTACAGAACAACTCAAAGATAAGCATCAGATGGTTATCTATTTCCCTTCAGGAGGAACTAGGAGTCCTGTGACTCTCCTGTCCTAATCATTAACTGCTAGAGTCTGCTCTTTGGAACACAAAGAAGGCTTAGGAGACTAAAGCTTTTTTTCCCCCCTATAAGTAAGAAATGGGGGGCATGGAGGGTCTTTTTCACCCGGGAGGGCCCCATAGGGTCGTGCTCAGTTTCAGTTCCCCCTTTCATTTGTTACTCTTCAATCCTGAGGGGAACAGGTGCTGGACAAGATCTTTCTTATTCTCTTTCGAATGAAGTTTTGGATAGAGGGGTTAAAATTCAGCAGAGGAACTCGATTTTACTGGGACTTGGTTTCAGGAGTGGAGATATTTTGTGCAGAAGGGGAAGCAGGAAGATGAGCTCCTCAGAGGTCCTTGAGCCACACTGTAGAGCTCACACCCATTTTATTTACAACTAGGGCCTTGCTTTGGTTGTCTCCCTCCAAGGGCTTCAAACCATCAAAATGCACCTGCATTTTGCATGGGAAATGATGTCTCCAGGCAACATTTCTAAGCCCTCTGCACACCTGTTAAACACTTAAGTCTCAAAGTCCAGATCTGCGTTATCCAATACAATAGCTTATAGCCATCCCTGAAAAGTGGCCAGTCTGAACTGAGATGTGCTGTAAGTTGTAAAATGCACCTCGGATTTCAAAGATATTACAAACAAACAACAAAAGAAATATAAACTATCTTATCTCATTAATACTTGAAAATATTGATTACATATTAAAATAATATTTTGATACATTGGCTTAAATAAAATATATTTTTAAATATATTTAAACAGATAGATTTACCTAATTTAACCTATTTATTCTTACTTTCTAAATGTGGCTGCCCCCAAATTTAAAATTACACATGTGGCTTGAATTTGTGGCTAGTTTTCTATTTCTGCTGAGAAGCACCCTTCAGAGAAATGATGCTTCTTGTTCCATGGCTAAGGCTTTTGTGAGGAACATGGTTCAAGAAGGATGGGAAGTTAGAGAAGTGAAAAGTCACTTGTCCTACATAATTCCAAGAAGAAAGAAAGGATGGAGGATAAGAAGAATGGAAATAGTGCTTACAACAAGCTGTACACTAGATAGGGCACTGG